CAATTGAAAGTAACAAAGTCATTGAAATCGCAAGACTCAACAAGTGTATGAACAGTGCAAACTTTCATCAACACCTTACTCTTCGTCTTGTTGTTGATCCTCACCACTTGAGTGTACTCCGTCTCCATCACTATTCACATCTTCGCCATCGTCGTCTGGTGCGTCCCCCTCGCCACTATCGCGTCCCTGCCCGTCTCCTGCTTCCCTGCCAGCCTCGCGACGCTCGCGCTTCTTTCCTCCACCTGTTCCAGCTGCTCGGCTCTGAATGTCGCGCCCGCAGCGCGGGTGTGGGCGCTTTGCTCCATTATCCCACTTGTGCCAGATCTGAAAGCACGTCATTGAGTTTCCAGGGTAGTGCTTCCACACCTTGTTGCACAGAAACAACCTGCATAGATTGATTAGCCTGTGCGTTCAATCGCCGCAACCAAATCGATTTGTACGTACTGCGCTTTGTCGGACTTGCTGCAGCCAGCGCAGAAGTATTTAGTTGCATGACGCTCACCAATCTTGCGCTTCAAAATCGAGCACACTTTACATTGCCTCTGACGACGCTTGCAACGCCATTTACGACCTGCCAGTCTGGGCATTCCGCTGGTTCGTGATCTCTTGTAAACGGTGCTAGATCTTCCTCATCACTATTAACACCCGAGGCGGTAGACTACACACAAAATATAGCGTGAATTCAATACATTCAACACGTCAACCATACAACATGACAGATGCAATGATACATCCAGCATGTCAACCATACAACATGAACACTTACCCTCTCAACGAAGACTTCTCTCTTCATCGCCAACAGCTGTGCATGGAGCTCCAGCAAAAACCCAGCGTGAGAAGTAGGTCTGACGTCAATTCGCTTTTGTGCCTCGGAGAACACGATATAGGCGTTCACAATTGCTACGTCAACCAGCCCCATAAAGATTGCCCTGTAGTATTTCTTGTACCATGTTTGCAGCTGGAGGGAATACCGCTGAAGTCGAAGCTGATCGTGTATGTCGACCCCTCCCATCCAACGGTGATAGTCACGCACCATGGATGGGCACGGGACGACGTGGCGTTTCCCTCCTGTGCCTCGTGTTCGTCTCCCTGATGACATGCCAATTCAAATGTCACATAGAGTAAAAAACAAAAATGGCATAGCTTACGCACTGCAAATTTCCATCGACCGACTTGATCCTGTCCCCAAGAACTGCACGGGCTTGCGGTCCCACCATACGAGACCGGTCATCAAAGGACAATTTTTAGCGACTGTCCTGCGCACAGTGTCATGGGCAATGCTCTTAGGCCGGTCTCGATTAGTCTCCATGGGTATCTAACCTTGTTTCCTGTAATAGTTCCGATTGAATACACGTTACGATGCAGCAACTGGAATACCAGTTGCACCGATGTGTAGAATCTATCCGTGACAACAAGATGATACACACTTTCTTCGGTGTCGGTAACACCACCTCAAGGTTGCGAATCACAGCGGATGATCCGGTGTGCGGATCTGCAGATTGCTGTCTCGCCGGTACATTGCCCACTTTTTCCAAATGCTGCGCCTTGCCGCAGTATACTTCAAGTCTAAATGTTGTACATACATGTACAGAGAGTAATATCATGTCAAATACAACATGTTGACTTGGACCAAAAAAAGCAAGTCCCAATGGACTTGCAAATTCACCTCAAACAGAAACCGTCGGCACAGCAAGTCAAAAACAGCTTCGTACCCCATTTGGGAGCTTCGCTTTTAGATATTGGCGAGTTGGGTTGTTCCGGTTCCGCGATGGGATCATTCCTTCGTCAAAAGAGAGAACTGGAGGGGTTTGGTATCCAAGCGGGAACCTCTCTTGGAGTGTATCGATCACCGAGTGAACTTTCCAGGCTCGATCGCGGGTGGCTTGAACATCTGCAATTTTTGTAAAGTGCAAGTTGGACATAATGTGCTCAAAGCGATGCCGAGGCATGTAATCGTTGAAAGTGCCGCGGGCAACAGCTCCTACACGTTCAGTTTGGTAATGATCTTGAAACCGGCGACGTTGCGTGTTCAGCATACGCGCCATGAGCAATCCCAGCACATGCAGAATCTCGTAAGGTGAAAAGTCATCCTTCTTTGCTTCTCGCGTCATGAATTGTCATTTTATCGGGCGTTCGTTGCTTTTCATGCATTTGGTTCACACGAGCTTGAAGGTTCTGCACGAAGTAGCGATTTGATTCACGTGCAACAAGCTTCTAAAACGTCTTCGGCATGAAAACAGAAACAACTTCAACGGAGAGTCAGCCAAAGCCAAAACTTCGTTCGTGGGTCCATATTCTCCACTCTGCAATCCGGGATATCTGTGATCGGGTGTAAACTCTGAGGGGTCTACATGATATCACATACAACATCTGGTCTTGAGTACATGTTATATAATACAACACATCACATGTAACACTTACCAAACATCCACCCGTTCTTTCGGATTGCAGCCATATTGCCTTCGTTCGTAGCAATAGCCACCATCTCATCCTTGTCGAGTTCAGCGTAGTTTCGATCATCTTGCACTGCGACACCATCAAAACTGCTTTTGAAGAGAGTTACCGATCCTTCAAAGACTTCTGTGAATCGGATAGCCCGGGCGTGCTGGTATGTTTTGATAAGAATTGGAAATCGTGTGTCAATATGTGGGCGAGTTTTGCTCGTGGTCGATATTTCAGTGCCGGGAACACCACAACTAACCGTGTGAAGCCAACTGGAACCAGTTGAAAATGCTCCTGGGCTATCGGCCAGGTTTAGACAAGACAGTCGCGGGAATTTTGCGTCATCAAGTCGCTGTTTTACGTCAATTTACTTCGGATCTGAGTCGATATGCGTCCAAATCACGCCCTGTTGGCGCTGTGCCTCGTTTTCTTCGTCATCTTACAAGTGTTCTCAGCGAATATGCATATCAGCGCATGCGACGTGAGTGGGATCTTTTGAATACGGTTATGAAGTCGGCTCGCTGTACAAAATCTGATAAAGAACGGAAGTGGAATGTTTATTCGAACTCCCACGTATACATTTGTGACGATATCCAACGGACATGCACATGTATTTTCCATTCCAGTATTAAACTGACATGTCGACAGCTCCTCCTCATCGCCCGTGGTGGACTTCAATTGGCAGAATTTTCTAAATCTGCTGTATTTCAGCGATGGAGTGTGAATGCTGGCCCTGACCTATATGATGGTTTTGTGATGGAGTAAAATCTATATCTACGGGATTGGAAACTGTGAAACCTTACAACACAAAAAATCATAGGGCATCGCCTTCGGACACCGCAGAACAAACTGATGGCGAGACTTTGACTCGGATTCCAGCGGGTCGCAAATGCAAGCAAAGTCGGGTGGAGTTTTTTAAAACTGAGACGCAATGAAAGAGCTATCTGGTGGTTCCTGCATCGACAGAGAAGTACCAATATGCTCTCGCCACCCTGGAGCCTCTGCTCAATCAACTCTCGAACTTGTCGTCAGAAACATTTTACGAGCAGCTAGCTCGTTGGGACCACTTACTTTCAAGTTGTAGCACTATTGCCGATAAAAGTGCTAATCACGATAGGAATCTTGAAGACCAACCCGAAACGATGGAACAAAATGATTCTAAAAACTCATTTTACGACTTATTTGAGGTTGCCCCTGCCGCCGACGACACGATCGGGGATGTAGATGCAGGTACACACCCGCGGTACGTATCACACGATGTGTCCATTGTTCCACAACCATCTCCCGCCTGCGCTGCCCCTCCACAGACGAACATCAACAGAGAACTGGCAACCTTCACAAAATTACCGGCCGTGAAAGCATCCTCAAACAGCAAGAATATTGATGTTTTAAGGCTCCCCGCCATAAAACCTAGAAACACAACCCGAAAGACCAAGATGCAAACGAAGCTCGTACCTGCAGATCGTACCGCCGTTATATTCTGGCCGGGTATATCAATATTGCTGTCGGATCTTCTTCGGTGGGCCAAAGTCACGCCTAATATCCGCCTTGTTAAGGCTACATTGAATGCAAACCCGAAGGCAATGAGTGATCGAATTTTAATTGGACGTGAGCCATTATGTCGTCGAGAATCAGTTGATCAAGCTGATTTCGACTACAATTTTGTGGTGCCTTTGGAATTAGTGAGGACTATGGAGCGAGTATTAATTGAAGAAAAGCGTCATGACCGACGCATTAAAAGTCTGCTACAGCCACTAGATGTA